ACTGCCAGCACCGCCCATACCATGAAAGGCGAGATGATTTGCATTGCACCCTCCTCCCATTGGATATCCAATCACATTCAGCATGCGTCAGTGCCCGCCGGGTTCCATTACATCTATAACCTGGAACTGGATCCTGAATAGTGATATGCGGATTCTGTCGTTGGAAGACCTCTTTCGCGACTCGCTCCAGCACACGCCCCCGCAGCTGCGGTGTGATCTGGCTCAAGCTGCATCCGGCATATGCCGCTTCAGTCACAGCGGCGTTTGAGCATCGATCCCGGCATGAGAACTCCGACAAGCGAAACATAGCAACACGTCGCAAGGTCTGGCGACAGCATCCGGCAGCATTGAGGTGACTCAGTCCGTATGCTCTACTGCCAAGGGAAAGCAACATCACAACAGTTTTGAAGGTGACAACACAAAGGTACACATGAGAAGTTGAACATGGACCCTGGGAATGGACCTTTGGAAGATGAACTTCCTCCACAAAGCACGTGTTTTCAGGTCCGTGATTCCATCTTAATCTTCCCGGGTGTACCAATTTTGCCCAACGGGACGACATGTTCTTTGACACCTATTCAGGCAAGTCTGAGACATCATCTGCAAAAAGAATGTAAGCTGGAAGCTGCTGTCCACCTTCCTTGTGAGCTTGCTTGATCATGCTTGAACCACCAAACAAATACTGCACCGAAGATGGACATCGTGTGTTTTCTGCTGCAAGTTAATTTCATTGCTGGGAACACTCTGAACCTTCACTGGTGGCCTCTGTTTCAATCAACCGGCTGTTTGCAGCTGTAAGCAGTTGCATCAGGCCGCACACTCTCCCTTTAGATTTTGTTCTACTCGTGCTTTCTGTGTGTGGTGTACGCAATTCAACATGTAGCGGTCTGAATGGCCATACTGTAAGTGCTCCAACCAAGGTCAATCTTTGAAAGGAGGAGCTTCATGGCACTTCTGATCGGTCTATTCATAGCCATGTTCATCCATTTTCTTGGTTGGATCCTGGAACAGTCCATGAACCCTGTAGGGAAACCAACACCAACCTTGTTCAGCTCTTCATTTGCCAGCAAAATTGCCAGCACACAAGTACAATAAAGGACACCAATGGTGTTGCAGCTCAAAGAGTGACTCCCATAGAGTTTCGCTGTGTATAGCGAGTCGCTGTTGAAGCTCCAAGGCACCCACATGCAGCGCACGCCCCGGTGACGGCTCACGTGCGCTGAAGAAGATCCCCACAGCTCCTGGCAGCCTTGAGGAGGCGGATTTGTCTAGTCGTCTCAAGGACAGAAACAACTTGAATGACAAAGCCGGTGGAGTATATCGTATTTCATGTCGTGGCCAGTGACCAAGAAAGGTGTTCCGCATCTTTTACGGTGAGCATAAACCCTGATGACATCAACTTACTACCAGCGGGTGTTGCATGAATAGTGGCTGGCTATGCTTTTGCAAGGGAAGTTGTGCCCATCTTTCCTAGACATAGGATACCCTCCCCATCCCTTGCCCCGAAACTCCGCCCCCCAACCCAATCTGAGGTGATCAGTTCAAAGCTCAGCGGACCCCCCCGATACAATTCCGCCAACAACGCGATTTTTTGTTTCTAATTCTGCTGATCCGGCACTCCTATGGAGCCATGGTCAACCATGGGTGCGGCGTTCTTGGTGAAAACATCACAAAGCTTTGAGTGACAAGGATGAGAAGAACTTCTCCATGTTCAAACTGTGCGACATGGTTCAAACGTGATGAAATAAGATATATATATATATATATAATATGTCCTTCCTTGAAGCTTGGAGTGAGTTGATGAACACATCACTGTGTCCCCATGTCCAGTCCGACCAACTTCTCCAAGGCTCTGGTGAATCTCAGGCGCCCAGTAGTCACACTTCCTGGGACGCTGTTTGAACCAAAACCGATGGAAGGATGATCAAGTGGCACGGTTGCTAACCTAAAGAGCATAGAACTGGTTGTTTTGTGAGTTAATCCAAACTCATATGTTCACAATTCCGCAACTACACTAGGGTGAATGGCAGTTCCAGAAATCAGGGCACATACATTCACAAACCCATGATCCTGATCCCTCTGATCATCATCCTTCAGTTTTGCCGCTTGCAGGCAAACACAATTGGGCCACATCCAACAGCAACATTCTGATTGGGCCTCATGACAGTTACGTTGGTATACCAAAATGCTATACCAAAATGTGGTACTTCTCTCTCCAGGCTAACAACAAAACTTGTAGGGCTTCTGGCTATTGTGGACTTGGATTCATTGCCTGAAACCGTGCACCTTCCAGCTTGAACGGCTCAAGCTGGACAAACCCAGCTCACTGTAGGCTCTGGGTCCCCGACTGCCCATGAGCACCGCCACTCCAGCTCGGCAACGTCTCAGGGCTGAAGACCTGGAGGCGATTCCCAAGGGGCTGACCTATCTTGGATGATGGATTCCTTGTCCATATGTAGACTCTTGACTAACAAACCCACCCATTTGAATTATTTTGCATTGGACCTCCTCTTCATATATGTTTTTTTTTTTTAAATCAAGAGTCTAGTCTACATTATATGTCAAGGAAGCGGCGACTCGAGATCAGTTCTGGGCACTATTTGTTTTCAACTTATCGACCGCTCATGGATCAAAACAGTGGCAGGCAGCTGACCAGCGATATCGCATGGGGAACAAGTTCGACCCAAATACTCGCGCTACCTTTAACTAGAGGCTCACGCTCAAACCCTTTCTGGGCCCCCACCTTGCCACAAGGCTCCCAAGAGACCAAGTCGTTGGAGCGTAGCATCCGAAAAGCTCCTGGCGGACGACGGAACGAGCACCAGCAGCTCATGCTGGCTCATCCTATAGTAACTGGGTCGTGACTACTTGGTTGCCCAACCCTGACTGTTGCGCTGCTCTATGGTGCTTCTGGTGTCTAATCGGGACTGATGGCAGCTTCCTTGTGATTCTTGGCTTTTAGTTTGGCGTGGCTTAAGTCTCTCCATAGCCCAGTAGCCCTATGTACCCCTGATCTCATGACGCACCTTCCCTCTATACAGCTTCTCCCCCAAACATCGATGCTCATCAACGTTCCATCCCGTTCCATCCCGTCTGCGTCGGCGGCGCCTTCGGGGCCCCCGCCGGTCACCGCCATGTAGAAGTGCTCACCGATTTGCTGGGCGCCCGGATCCGGGAAGTCCCCCGGCACCTGCGGCGGTCGGCGGTTGATGGCTTTATGCCGGGGGAAGGTCTCCACCGAGCGGAGAGTCGGTGCTTTTTCTTTGGGGTGGGTCTTGGGGCCTGAGGGGGGGGTGTTGCATGGAGAGCTGCAACATATCATCTGGTATATGCAGGTGAGAACGGTCGATTCTTCCAGAGAAGCGAGCATTCTAAGGTGCAAGCAGGATTAGACATTTGTTTCTTTTTGCGTGGTTCCCTGGCCCCAAAGAATACAAAGATGAACGGGCACTCAATTTCCGCGCTTGGGCCCGTACAGGTCTGATTCCTGATTGGCAGCACTCAAATAAAGTTTGTTGTAGGCACCATCAATGAGATTTGATGTCAGCTCATTTGAAGCTCCCCTGGTTCCTCATCAATGCCAAGCAGCAATGGGGTTGCTGTAGGTCTCCTGTCAAACAACTGCTTCAAAAGGCTTGGGGCACTTTGATGTGATCAGGGCGAACAGTCAGGATATGTGTTTAAATAACTTTCATCTAATTGGATGGAATACAGAAACATTGTGCTGCTGAAATCTGCATGCAGGGGTAAAGAGCATTGATATGAGACAGTGCAGAATCTCAGAAGTCACATGACAACTTTACATTGAAAATTAGGATCCAGCAATGCCACCAATAGCAAACATACTGCGTACATCTCCAATTCCCTGGTGGAATCCGGAATCACCGGTTCGACTTCCACACATGTTGCTTGCAACTTTTGTGTTTCTTGTCATCTCTAGATTCGATCAACTCCACGACTACCTGCCGTGCGCTTCCCTCCTCCGAAGCGGGCACTGCTTGAGCTGCCAGCTGAGACCCCATGGCGTCACCGTGACAGGTGCTGATGTGATCGGTTTGCCTCGTTTGCCTCGTTGGCCTGAACCGCAGTGACCGATTGACCGACCCCTGAGTGGCTTCACAACTTCTGCAGGTCTGCCCAACCGACCGCCCAACCGGCTCCCTCTTGATGGATGCTCCGGGATTGGATCCAACAGGAAACTTCACCTTGGATGAAAGTTCACAGTGACTGACCCTGATGCCATTGACTCCCTGTGAAAGACCGACTGCGGGTTCCTTCGGTGATTCCGGCGACAGGGTCCTGGGACGTCTTCCGAAACTTGGAAGGGGACGTCTTCGAGATCCGAATGGAGATGTTTGAACCATTGAAAAAAATAAGAAACGCTCACGGTTCAAAGACCGTCCCGGGTGGGTACGGGTACGGGTTTTCCAGGCTCCCCACCCAGAAGATCTCAGAGTCTAGGAGGCTTCCTCGTTGTTACACCTTTAAGTGGTAGAAAGGATGAAGAAACACTGCGGTTCCACATCCTGTAATGTGCTACGGACAGAGACATGTCAATGTGATGGTATGTTTCTTCGTGGCAGCGCCACCAGCACATAGCCAGGAGTATGAAAGTCGTTTGAAAGGTGCTCACACTCCACATCAAAGTCCATGTTCAAGCAGTCTTCGGGCTTCCAGGTGGTGTTGCTGTGGAGCTCTTCCATCAAGCTCAAGAGCTGCATCCCAGGTTTCGGCAACATGTGGTGTGTGTATTTCAATGGGAAGAGCTCCGTCATCAACAGGTTTTGTTCTGTCCTGCGTCCAGCGGGTCAAACTTCGATGTCTCCCTATACCTGGAGTCTCAGTTCGTACCTCAGAAAATGGGTACTAAGTACCTTATGTCCCAATAGGGTTATGTCCCATTTTCGAAGGTACTTGAGTACCTCGGGTCCAGGTACACACCCACGTCTCTGGGCATCCCCAGTGACTTCTATATGCGCCAACCGCTGGGCATCCCCAACCACTGTTGCGCCACGCCGCTGTGGAAGCCTTCCTGGCAAGAATGGCTGTGACTTTCCCAAAATAGCCAGGTATGGCACCATGAGTGCTGTGAACAGCCGCAAGGAAATCCAAGAAGAACTGATGGAAAGTAAAAATTATAGCAGTGGAACATGAGGGAGGCCAAGCAAGACTGCAATTGATCCTGTTTGGCGATGAACAAGCTGCTGCAGGAGTTGCCGGGTGCCTTTGCAGTGACTTTTGGGGCGACAACAAACATAACTTTCTTCTCTGGCACTGTCACTCGTGCGGTACTTGTTCAATTCATTCAGATTGGTTAGTTTTGGGCCCAAAACGGTTTAAAGCTTATTAGACGTGACGTAGAACCGACCAACTTTGGTAGCCCCCATGGCAATGAACTACAGTAATTACCTTGAACAGCTGGTATATCCTACGAATGCCAGGGTCTCAAGGCTCATCCACACTGCCCATTTCGTGCCTGTTGCTGCGGCTGTTGCTGCAAGGGCTGTCGCGACTGGCTGTTGGGCCGCGAACCACCCTGTCCAATGCGCACATGCACGGCGCAAACGTGTGCACACGTGTGCACTGCGCTGTTGCGTGCTGATGAGTGCAACATCCTACCAGGCCCATTGATTCGCCCCTGCCATGCGGACCTTCAGACCATGTCAGCAGTGGTCTCAATCGCAAGGTCTCAACAAATGTGGATCAAATAATTGGTCAAGATCATCAAACTCAAATAATCAAACATCACAAAGCTAAGGTGTCTCTACTATTTCGAGTGAGGTCATGAAAAAACATATAACATGATGAGCCCAGCAGCCCATATAGTAAGTGACTGGACCATTTTTGGTGACTCGTGCCTGAGCATAGGCCTGCATGCCATATTGCCTGCACAAGGCTGGTCAGGGTATTCCAGGTGCTGTCAGCAGCGGACTCTCTCGTTCCGGTGGATTGCTCCAGGGATTAGCGTGAGTGGTACAAAAACAATCAAAGACAAACACATATCTAGGCCAGCAAAATGAAGACCGTAGTGGACAACATTGCCAAGTGTTTCCAATGACTTCCAAGCATACAGTATTTCGGACTGAGGTTTAACATCTGTAAAAACAACGCTCTTGCCGGTAATCCTTTGCTCTTGCGGCCCAAAAACACCCGCCGCATGGACACGAAAGACCGAGCAAACCCACCTGGTGTCGGTGCCCTGGGTTTCGGGTGGCGGCACATCAGGGTAGCCCTCATGGACCTGGCCGAAGCCCGGTGGCGGCGAAGGCAGGCGCTGATTGGATGCTGGGCGCTTTTGTTGCAGGGGAAGGGGAGGTCTCTACCAGTATGGGTTCATTCTGGTGATTATTTCGAGTGATTTGCTTAGAATTATGGTCTTAGTCTACATGCCATGACAGTTGTGTGTGTTCTTTTTTTACCGTGTTTGCTTTTAGATCTTTTAGGGAAGGGATTTTCTCTGTCTGTGAAACGAACTGGGTAGTTCTGTTACTCTGGCTTCCCCCCTTGAACTCTTTCTATGCCATACACCTTGTGGCCAAGTTGCCTCCTCTGCCAAAAAAAATGATGCGTTGCTTGGCTTATGCCTTTCTGCTCTAACAGTGGATAATGAATAGTGCTAATAGGGCTTTATTTCAGGTAGACATCGTTTTCCCGCTTTATCCGTTTTGTTTGGCGGGGGCTGCCAGATGTCCTCTGAAAGGACTCAACATCGAAAACGTCGTCCCTTTCGGAGATCTCAACCAGTGCCCTTCCCTACACAGAAGCCAAGCCATCATTCTTATTGGCCGGTGAGTACGGACTTGTCCCTTCACAATGCATGCTTCTGCACTGCTCCTTCCTTGCGTGAGAGTTGGGTCACCCCTTGTCACCTGCCGTGCCGCTGCGCCCCCCCCCTTCCCCGCCGCACGGGGGACGCTGAGATCCCGGACGAGGCGTGAGAGGGGCGAACTGTGGCGGCCCTCCCGACCTGTCGGGTCGGGACAAAGCAAGGTCTTCCAATAGGGCTATGGATGTCTATGGCCTCTATCAAAAACTTACAAGTTAGCAAGAAAGGTGCAGTGTTTTGTGATTTCAGATCCAGGGTTTAGACAATTGACTTGCCACTTCTAGAGGGCACAACCCAAACCAAAAAATAACAGCCAAACCATTGGGAGGCTCCTGTAGAAACTTTGCCATGTGCTAAAGGAGATTTGGGCTACAGTTAGCTACAATATATTGCAATTATAATGGATCATATTGGGTATATCCCATTCCCTGCAACAGCATGATGATGGTCAGTAAATGCCCTTCCCCAATAAATAGTGATCATTGTCTAAAGTTTACCGACTGTTGCAGGTAGCGGGACACACCCAAACAACCAAAAACACAGTGGGAATTGTCCCATGTTTCACCCACCATGCGATGGACAACTAGAGGACTTAGAGACCCCAGTGCCATGGGGAACACCGCCCGCACTACGCCTTGATACCGTGCTTGCGAGACAGCACCAAGACCGCCTGGTCGCGACAAGCAGGGACAGCTCAGGCACGGACACAAGGTGGATAGGAAAATGCCAGGTGCAGGGGATAGAGTGCAAACCATCTGGATTCCTAACTTAAACATGATCCTAACTCAAAATACCCCAAGTTCCTAACTCAAACAGATCAAACATGATCAAACCATCTGGATCCACTGCCATCCTTTTTTATGAAGTTGATTGGAGACTCTTTTGTGTAGGTGCCAGAAGAATTCCAAGTACATTCTGAGAAGGCATATGGATCCCTAGGGAAAGTAAACATGAATGAATGACTTTGCTTTCAGTTGTTAGCGTTTTGCTTTATTGAATCACTTGCATCACTCCCTTCTGATCGCCCTAGCTCAGTTTGGGCCCCCTCGCTGGGTCGGCTCACCGCGCTGGCTGCATCGCCGTTCTGCCTGAGCAGTAGTTCGGATGTACACTCCCGAAAACACACATGGACCCTGACGTCCTGGCCCCCTGGAAGATTTCCTCAACCAATGGTTTTGGGGGGTCCATGTTAGTCTGCATGGGGATGAGGTATGCAATAGAATCGTTGTGAGGGGTTGATCCGACCATTCGGACGATCCGAAGAGATCCATTCGATGTGGAGCTCCAGAAACACTCCAGGAGCCACGGGCACAGGAACATCGGTTCTCGCCACTAAAAGCGCAAGTACGGATGTGCCAATGTTGGTAACCAATGAAAGTCTCCGGCAATCCTTGGGATCATAATTCCCGAGTGGATGAGTCATGAGTCGTTGCAAAAATCTAAAGGGGTAAGGAATCGCAGGAATCAAACCAATGCGCTCTACAGTGGAGCACCAAACGACTCCAAACATGCGACAGTCACGGACCATGCGGATGCCACCGGTGGCACAGCGCGTTGGTCCAGGTGAGGCACACCCAAGTTGATCTACCAGGGCTTGAGAATGGGAGCACATTATCCCACTCACTGGTTTGAGAATGCTGTGACTGCCTGTAGATTCCTGTAGGAAATGACATTTTGACATTTCCCCACAATTTGTATCTACTGTAATTGGTTAGGTTTGTTTCAGGAACCAGGGCCAAGCATATTTTGCAGAAGGATATTTACATACCCATAGGGAAAATGGAACCAGGAATTAGTTGGCACATTCACTGGAAGGGGTCGGGAACCTTGTCTCATGCTTCGGGGGTCCTTTTTGCAGGGGATTGAGCGTACCAAAAAGCAAAGGATTGGTTCATGGATCCCCGTTGATATTCAGGGTGAGGGGTCAACCCCCACCATTCTGTAGGCTAAATACCATCACTGATGTTCATGGGGACTTGTTGATTGAAAGCAACTCTTTGTTTCCAATGGCAATCGATGAACTAACCGCCTTTGAGTTGACAGCCAACATGCCCAAGGTGCTGGCATCCTGGCCCATCTCTTCCGAAACCCAAGAAATGTGATGATTCCACCTCATCTTCACCCTCCATCCTCCACGCACTGGCCCCACGCGCCGCTCGTTCGCACACACCTCCACGCGCCCCACCGCTCCGCCTGGCCAAGAAGGCTTGCCGCTTCCGCTCCCAGACCTCATCCCGCCGCGCCATCGTCGGCCTCGGCCGAGTCACTCCGTGAGAAAAAGGTGGGGGGGGATCAGGAAAGTGTATATCACCTCATTTCTACCCTATATAGGTACACCTTTGCATGAAAATGCAGCTTCATGTCCACATCTTCATCCATTTGCATCATGTACTTGAAGGGGGGTGTCCAGGCATGCTGATGCCTGTCCGTGAGAATCGCATTCCTCCGTGGAGCTCGCCGAGCCGAACCCCCGAACACCGAGGCGACAGCGACTCGACAGGGGACACCCTGACTCGACACCGACACCGAAAACATCCGAAAAAGAACCTGGCCGGTTCGGGGCACCGGATGCTGGAGGTTCTCTTAGCTTTTGGTTTTGTTGTCAACATGGCGCTCGAACATTGACATTGAGAACATCATAGAACATCAATGGGCTCGAAGGGGTAATTGCTTCAAAGGAACATTGTGCTTTTCAATCCAAGCTTCTATAGTGGTGGCGTGCTGGAGGATTTTAGCTGTTGGAGTGTTGGAGATTTTAGTTGTTGGACACACATTTCGACCGACCCATCTGACCAATCGCAAGCATTCCATGCGGCCCTTTTCGGCTCTCCTTTACCTCCAAGTCGCGCAGTGGAGCACGGATCGGGGCGAAAAAGGACGGCCGGAAGGGTCGGAAGGTGGATTTCCTCCGAATGGTTAGATCTCAAAAAAGTCCTGTCACTTGATGTCTATACCTTGATTATGTTCGAGGTTCTACCTTGATTATGTTTGCTGACTTGATTTCTTCCTTTGTTCAGCATATGTGGGTATTCATGAAAGTTCTGCTGCTGTGCTTGGTCAGTGAGATGTCAATCTTGGGTAGATGAGGCTTTGTTGGCTGTTAGCTGGTCGATTGCTAGTGCAGCTACAGCGTGTAAGCTACTGATTGGACTAAGGCCTTCCACAGTCATGTGCTTGGACATCCCATGCAAAAACTACTCCAAAAAACAATGATCAACTTAGTTATTGTCATCAACATTGCTCATGAATCCTACACCAGACCTGTTCATGTCAAGTATATAGACTTTTTTTTTAATAGATGCATATTGTCCCATGATGCTGTATGCCTGTTCTCAAGAATTAGATGTATTCGAGTGTTCTTCATTCAACTTGTCCAACGTTATCCACTGACATGGCTTCACCATTGCATGGCTTCAATGGCAACAGCTGGGGCCAGGAATGCATTCACTAAACCAAGTCAGCCAGTGTATGGTAACCTGTTGCAGTGGAACTAAATCTGGTATTTGTTCAGCGCATGCAACACATCTGCCCCAAGAACACCAATCAGTAACCGTCATCCGCGGCGTAACCGCCACGTGCATCAAAACAAGTCCACCAGGAACCAATCAACCTCGCCCACGAGAGCCGTGTACGAAAACGACAGAAAGTGAGGCTGGAAGGACTCAAAACTTACTCATCCTACTCGACTGCCGCCACGAAACCGCATTTTGCATGGACAATGATCCCACTGAAAAATAGCAGATTGGTCTGGCAAAAACCCAGTTGGAGCTGGACAGTTCTCATGCAAAAAATAATATACATATATATGTAACATTATTAGATTCCAGAATTCTCATGATACCATGTGTGAGCCTGACCCAACACATCGCCATCAAAAGCAATCCACCCCCGGCCCGTGAAGGCGCTTCCAATAACCATGCTTCGGAAGCCAAGGCGGCTGACCCGCAAAAGTGGTCGAACTCCTTGACACAGGCCTTGGTGACCTTGCAATACCTCGGATTTGAGTGTGAGTTTGGGTCTCCAAAGCTCAATGAAAGGCCTCTCCGCAATTTCCACACTGTTTCATGTTGTTCAGCCTGGCATTGTGCAGGAAAACGTTATCATTTTCAGGTCAGACGGCGTGGTGGGCCGGTGGGTGTAGGTTCTTATAGGTCTTCACCTCTGCAAGGTGGGGAAGAGGGACAAAGTCTTTCAAGGAAATGGACCATTCCAAAGAAAACCTACACTGCGCAAAAACTAACATGGACCCGGGTCGAAAACACGGTTTTCCTCTACGAACCAGTGGTTTTCAGGGTCCATGTTAGTTTTCAGTGGGGTAAGTGACTATATATGTATATATTAGCGAGCCACTGAGCGAGCAAGGAAATTATTGCACGTCTTAGCATTGTGATGTCTGTGTACGCCCTGCCAA